TAAGAAGATTAAAAATAGCTAACCCACAAAAATAAAGTGTTTTGCATAAAGTACTTCTTCAGTAAGTGTCAGCTGTGATATTATGCTGATGATAAAGACTGATGATGACAATGATGGTTACTTAGACAGAAAAATTCAACTATATAAAACCTAACTGGTGATTTTTATTATAAAATACACTTTAAGATATAAATATATGCAAGAAAATATACTTCAGATATGAAATTTCAAGATGGCTATTCTATATTTGTCCAATAAAACTTCACTTTGAAAATATTCCAGTATGATCCCAGCAATTTAGAGTTTACCTAAAAATTTCAATCTAAAAAAATTATACCTGTGAAAAATAGTATTAAAAAACCCTAGCATGATAATATGTCTTTTTCTCAGGGCCCACAAACACATTAAAATAAATATACCACTCTACATAAATAAAAGCTCTGAAATTGACTGTGTTGTATTAAAATGTTTCATAAGGGGAAAAATTTAGAATTCCTGGTACTTTAGTATGTCCTTTTTCTTCATCAGCCGTGTACTGAAATCTCTGGATGAGGAAAGGGCCAGACCAATGTTGAAAGGTTTCAAATATCAAACTATACTATTATGTCAGTGCCCTAAGATCAATTAGCACCTTTCAATGACAGAAAAGGTTACAGTGAGACTCAGAGAAGCGTCTCTGAAACTGTTTTAAACCACCATACAAATGTGTTTTTGATAACTTAAAATGGTTCTAGTTTTAAATTAATCTGTTTCATCTCTGCTTTTGAAAAAAGGAAAAGGGAGTTAAGGAAATAAGAACAGTGGTGTTCATTTTCATTACCTCTCTACCAGTAAAAACATGGATGGGGACACGATAAGAACCACAAACTTTCAAGAGCAATACGGTGTATCACAGAGGCATTTATTAATGTGAAGTTCCACAAGTAATATTAGGTGACAGTAATGTTTACAAAGTCTTTGAACTCAAAAGCAACTAAAGTGGCTTGTACTGCATTTGAATATGTGACTCTTGTTTATTTTCTTCCACTCAAGTTCAAGCTAAATGACACTAAGCTTGGCTCCATGGGCAATTTAACGAACATTCAGTGTTGTCTACATTAAAACACATCTAACTGCAAAATGCAGTATTACACACACTGCAATTAAAGACACATTGCATCTCACACATTTCTAGAATAAATGCCTTAAAGAGCATGTTATTTCTTAGTTCATGGGGAAAAATTCACAAGAGAAGCAGGTACACAGCAACCTCATCCCATTCCTCCTTGGTGTTGATTTCATTCACCTAGTAACCATTGTAATAAAATCCCCCAACTGTATTTCTGAATACAGTTAGTTTAAGATACTCCACAGGGAGACACATTATAAGAGTTTGGAATATGGAAGAATAATATCCATTTGTAGAAGAAACTATCATGATTATGTTCTCAGGGAAAAAAATAACAAGGGGTTTGATAGCGGATTGTTCAGCTCTTCAGTGAGAGGGCTCTTCTAGTTTTGATAGCATGCTTTTCTGTTTGTTTTTTAAATGAGTGATCTGAAATATTTACAACCAGACAGTACCTAATTTTAGTTTTTAAGTGCTTTAACAGCTCCATGAAATATGATCAGCAGCTGCAATACAGAACTATGGTGAATAAACTCCTTATAAAAGGGGGCCTGTTTTTACTGAATGTTCAGTGTTCCTGAATTTAACCTAATAGAAAAAAAAGATAATGAAAAACATAATAAATACTTGCACTCCTAAATTACTTAATACTTCACTAAGTCTTGAAAAGGATTATCTCCCCTCTTCTTGAATTCTGCATAGAAAGTTCCATTGGGTGAAATATGTTTAATTTTATTATTTGAGAGTTAGAATGTGAACTTTCTAACCTCCTAATCTTTCACAACAATAGTTACATTTTTCTACCATTCTGCTTTTCTAAAAATTCTAGATAGTTCAATTCCAGTGCATAAATTAAAAAAAATGAAATACCAAGCCACACAAATATATTTTTAGACATGGCATCAGTCATTTAGAGCCTGCAACAGAGATTGAAAACATGAAACTGGACACTCTATTTCCGTGGCTATGTACAATTTATTTACACCCCAAATCACAATGCAAATAAAAAGGAAACTCCTAGAAATGAAGGACTGTTTCTTTCTTTTTCTTTTTTAACTCAAAGAGGTATTTTAAAAGAAAAAAGTATAGCAAACTGACGAACTACTCATCTGCCAGTCTCCCCTCAAAAAAGAAACTTTTATGCAGCCAATTTTGTTTCAGCTAGCTCTACAAATCTCTAGAATGCATGATCTGTATTTTTAAATGAGTAATAATTGTTCATGAACCAATTTATTTTTATATAAACCTTGGGTTCTTTAATTTTTTAAAGAACATATTACCTAAATAAATATTAACTATGAATATGTACATATACATAAAACTTTTCATTTTGTATAAAATAGATACTAAGTTTCTAACATCCAATAAAATACTTACTAATTAATAAAAATAATCAAGTAATGTTTTTATTTCAGTGGCTTGTCAAAGCACTAATTATGATGGCCTTAAAATGTTGAAGCATACTATTTGCAGGAAATTGACAAAGGAAAACAGGCTTTTGAAAATGACATTGATTTTAGCCCTTCACTTGTTATGAAAGTCAAGGCTACAGCCCTAATAATCAGGAAAAAAAGGAACAGTTTCCAGATCATCTAATTATGTAACTTTTAAATCTGTAACTGTTAAAGTTTTTAACTTTCTTGTACAGTCATTTCTGAAAATTGGTTTAACTCTGAATGACTTACAACTTTTAATCAGGTGGAACAAACTATTTTTATGGTTTATAATAACAATAAAAATGGATATACTTATATCTGCATTTGGTACTGTGGCCATAAAAACTAGACTCTGGCAGTCTAGCCCCACACAAAACAGTTTGTCTCTTGTTACTACTGCTACTTATTTCTTGTGATACTGTTATTTTTAAAAATACACAAATGCCTTTGAAAGCAGTCTCCTAAAACGCACCATACCAGGCATCAAGCACTTTGTTTTAGGATTCTCTTCCGGTCACCCTTCCTAGCTTTTGGCTCTTGGGCTATACAGGCTAGCCAGAAATATTGTCAAAGAAAAAAAAAAAAACAACAACGACAAACAATGTTTCTGCTTAAGAAGTTCTATGCTGAAAAGGCTATCAAATATAATCCTTGTCCCGAGGAGGTTTTTAAAAATAAAAAGCCCAACAAAGAAAAAAAAAAACACAACATCGTCAACTTGCAATACTGTCAGTCACGTATGTGTAAATGAAACTTCAGAAACCGCTGACGGCGAGCCGGCGGTTGTTAAACGCTCCTGAGACTCCCCACCTAAGTCCCGCAGGAGCCCGCACCGAAACCGACAAGCGCCTGAGGGTGCAAAAAGTGGCTGCTGATGAAAAGAAGAACAAAATGCCATATTCGAGAAGATATGTTTCGCTCTGTGAGTTACGCTGATCCCAGGGTGCCAAGCCAAAAGGGGTAAGGGAGAAAGAAAACTGTTAAGTATGAGCTCTTAATGTGAAACCTAACCTGTTGGTTCTCTTAGGTATCAGATTTTGGAAGTGTCTGTAATGACAGCCAGGAAAGCAAATTAATGGCCAACAGCCCACTGGGTTTGAACACGAGACTCCTGTTACCTCCTCACAGATCAAGTACACAACACACACACACACACACACACACTCACGGAGGTGCTCCACGTGGAGCTGCTCTGAAACCAAAACACACTCCCCGTTGCTCTTCTGCATTTTGGCAGAAAGGCCGAGGGACTCGCACCTTCCTCCACCACCCCCAGATTAAGATGCATGAATGACTGCCCGCTCGGGAGCGCAGGAGACCGGGGAGACAGGACCATCTCCAAACGACACCCCATCCGCCTCCCCTCCCCCCTACACACACACTCACCCGAAGAACAAACCCCCCAACCTTCCAGGAAGGGGGCAGAGAGGTGGCGGTGAAGGGAGACACCGCCACCCCGACCAGGGAAAAGATGACAAAAATTAAACTGCGCTCTCCAGTTTCGCCACCACTCTGCCAAGAGACTCGGTCGGAAAATTCCCTAATAGCTCCAAGCTGTTCCGAATAACGTATACAAAGAAAGAAATGTCTTTAAAGTGCTACTAAACGAAAGTTCTGGCTGCTGTGTGGCGCAAAATAAAACAAGCACGCACACGGTCTACTTCCAAATCCCGCTTAACCGTACAGAAACAGCGAGCCGTGTCCAGTCCCACAGCCACCCCGAACCAGAACGCTTGGAAACCAGAGAAAACCTGCTCCCCCAGCCAGGTCCCTTCGTTCGGAGAAGTTATAATCCCTCCATGGCATTCGAGTCCCGAGCCAATGAACGCGACTCCTCTGACAAGGCGCCTCTAATTTCACGGACCCTGGCAAACTGCAGACGTTCGGACCACGCCACAAAAAAAACGATTAGCGTGGGATGGCCGCAGTTTAAAAGGCCGGTTCGTGCCTGGAGATTAGAGCACAAGCACTGACCGTACACACGCACCCTGCACCGTGAAAACCCCAGGCGCCCGGGGCCTTCCCCGGGACCCGGATGGGCATCTTTGAGCCAGGCTCATTTCGGGGTTTATCAAAAAGTAGTAAATGTCAAAGGAAGGATGGAAGGGAGACCCTGGGACGCGCGTCTCTGCGATGCAGGGGCACAGTGCAATTAGGGAGCGGCGCAATACCGGCTCCAACGCAGCCCCGAAAGCCGCAGGAACAATCACCGGGGACCTTTGGGCGCGGGGGCAAACTCCAGCACTAACAGCACTGCAGTCCTAGCGGCCCGGCCCCCCTGGGGTGCGGCACTCCGCTTCCGAGCTTCCGCGGGGACCCGGGCGCTTACACTGTCCCTCGGCTCACCTTCCGTCCCCAGCTCCTGGCGCACTTTCCCGGGTGGAGTTTACTGGCCCCTTCAACCTAAATCCCCGAGGGCCAGCCCCAGGACAGGGGTCGGAAGAAGGGGCTCTCACCTCTTGTCGGTCCAACCGCCTCAGGATCCTGAAGTTCAAGTGTCCCAGCAGCGGATCCGTGCGTCCGTGTTTAGGTATTTATTCTCGTTCTTTCCAGTGTCGAAGTTTCCCCTTCGCGCTGTGCCTCTGGTGAAAACAGGACATCCCCTTCGGTCACCCCCCACCCCCACCAACAAGTAGCGTACACAAGTGGGGGAGAAACGGGGCGGGGGGACAAGCCGGCTCCGAGGGGGAGGAGGAAAGAAGAGGAGCCCAAACTCTGGACTGACGACAGGGGAGCAAAAGTAGAAAAGAAAAAGAGAGCGCGCGCCCGGCCACCACAGTCGTCACTCGCCAGCGTTTCCCAAAGTTCTATCCCCCTCTGAAAGGGGAGCGACAACTTCACGTGGACAGGCTGGAAGTTTTGCGCGGAAGCCGAAAGTAGCAAAGCGTGCGCCGCGCCGCGGGCAGCCTCGCACTTGCGCGCGGGGATGGGGGCGGGGGACGCCAGCGGCGGCGTCCGCGGCCACTGGAGGCTGCCCGAGGCCTGGAGGCAGGCAGCAAGGGGTGGCTGATCGCGGAGAACTGTCCCTTTTTTATTCGACCTCGAGTGACGACTGTCTGTTGTCATCGTTTGCGGTCCTGCGTGAGGAACCGCTTGCGACCCTAGGCGTCCCCGGTGGCGCCGAGGTAATCTCCGCGCTCTCAGGGCCGTCCCCACCCCGCCCCCCACCATCTCGGCGCCGGCCGCAGCGACCTCCCGGTTGAGGGGAGGGACCCGCGGCCGCACTCCACTGCCGGGACTAGGGAACCGTTGTCTGTCCCCACCTGCTGCTGCGGGGCAGTCTCCGAGTAGTCTCTAGTTTTGCCGCTACCCTGTCCCGGGTTGTAGGCCACTGTGGACCTCCTGATGGACTCTTTTCCACTTACCCCAAGGGAGGAGACAGAAGGGACTTCGCCTCCTTGCAACAACGTAAAATAAAAACCAACCCACGCCAGACTGGGGAAGCTTTTGCTGGAGGGAGGAAATACCCTTTTCCGTGAAGATGTATGCTAGGAACGAGTAAGCAGTGTGGCGATAAGCTGTGCTGGGAAGGGCCTGGGCCCCTTCCAGCTGGGCGCAGGTATAGGCATCCCTCCCAGATGCCCAAAGGTCATGCAGCCACGACTGATTTCCAAGGCAGCGTCAGAGCTTCCCCAGGCACATTGCTGAAGTGACATTTCGTGCCTAAGCCTCCTGCACAAGTATATGCGCCCACATGGGATTGCTCACATGTATGTATCACAACCAGGAGCAGAAGCAAAGTGGACAATACACAATACATAAATTTCGCGTCCATTTAATCACCTCTTCCTAAAACCTATTGTCTATTTCAGGAGTGTCTTCTTTGTTACATCAATTACAAGTGTTTTAATGTATTGAGAATTTACTGAGCATCAATCTTTATCCTGGCCACTTATGGTACCTATGAGTTCATTTAATTTCACAAGTCTACGGTGATTTTTTAAGCACCTATAAGAGCTAAGTAAACTGAGGACCAAAGAAACTTAAGTAACTTTCCCAAAGACCAACAGTGATCTCTAACAGCAAAGTTTGTGATTCACAGGCACACGTCTGTCCACCCCCAACACTGCCTTAGATGTGGCCTGAGAGATTACAAATTAACTGGTATAAATTATTCCCATGTAAAGAATATTTAGTTGTTATATAATGTCAACCAAATTATATGCTTTAAAAACTTCAGGAAAAGATTTTCCCCTCTACTTCATATTCAAATACTGTCAAGTTCAAAAGTAAAAACAGTATTGTATACTTGTAGTTATAATTTATTTTCAATTAGGAGGCATTTTCTACAAGTACTAACAGGCAATGGAAAAGGTAACTCAAATTTAAACTTGTGAATGCATTTATTGCAGCTCTTGCTACTCACTGAGTGTCCTTCCCTACAGACTAATTGGGGGTGGAGTGAAGGCCAGGCACCTGCCAGGGACAGTGTTCCCTTTCCTGATTCTCAAGGAAGGGTTCAGTGGTGGGTTTGGCACAAAGAGGGTTTGGAGCATCATCTAGAGAACATTGTGGCCTGAAGAGGATGCCAGTTAATAGACAGTTAAGAAAAAAAATATTGATGGATGTATTTCAATAACTTTGCAAGTTATTTACCCCCATTTTACAGGAAAGAAAACTAAGAGCTCATAATTTTTAGCAACTTCCAAATAAATGGCAGACCAAAGATGCAGACCAACCCATGAGTACTCCCAAAGACCACTTGGATGTACTAGTAGTAGTCAGAAAATTAGCCATGTTCAGCACAGTGTATATGTTACAGGCAAAATATGCAATTTAAAACTTTTGTGACTCATTCAGTGTCTAGAAACTCTCAAAGGCTCTAGTAAACATCATATAAAAATTAAGTACAATGCTGAATTTACTACTCTCCTCATAAGGCCACAAATTTTTGAATTTCATTTTGGTATAGAATGTTTAGTATTAGTTTAACCTCTAAATAAAGGTTGGATAAAATAAAAATTCATACCTTGGTATAGCATATTGTTCACATAAATATGGTTGTTTAGCACATTTCTTTACCCCTTTCTACAATCAGATTTTCAGTAATATTGACCTGCTTTCAAGTTACTTTGTTCCCACATAACTTTTCTACATCTAGTTAAGAATATGTTTAAAGAAGTTATCCAAAACCCCAGAATTACAGCATAATATTATTTATTCAACTTCCTTTTTTTAAATCCTTACTTAAGAACATTTTTTGCCCATTGCTTTTAGAGACAGAGGAAGGCAGAGAGAAACATCAAACACCTAAGGGAGAGAGAACCACCAATTGGCTGCCTTCCATTGGCCCCCAGACTTGGGGATTGAACCTGACACCCAGGTAGACGCAGTGACCAGGAATGGAACCTGAAACTTTTTGGTTTCAGGGTGACTCTCCAACCAACTGAGCCACACTGGTCAGGGAATTTATAGAACTTATTACAACTTTCTAATTCATTTAGTCTTAGACATACATATATTACATGGATACCACTGGGAGTGATATAAAAAGTCATATTTTCAGTCCACATTAAAGTAGGTTGAGTGTAATAAACAAACAATTGTAAGGTTTTATAGGTGAAAGGGTATTGCTTGTTTAAACAAGGTATTATTTCCAGGATTTCTATTGAATACCACTTTTATAATTATTGCCATATCAGCTATAATATTACTGACTTAATATTTTTCTTTAAATAAGCTATTACATGTGTTTGTCTGATAAAGGAAACTTTTTATCATCACCAGAAGTGGGAAAACAATATAACTAGCCATGAATACAAGGTGACCTTGCAAATGAATCTTTATTATGGAAATAAAAATCATTTATCCTGTGCTACCTAAAATTACCTCACACACCAATTTGAGAAACACCAGTTTAATTAATTAAATTTCTTCTTATTCCCTCAGGCTGGACAAAACATATTTTCAAGCCTTTCCATTTCTCTAGAGAACTGTTGAGTCCATGATTCTTTCATGTATTACTTTTTAAATTTTGTTATTCAATTATTAGTTTTCCTTCCTAAAATATACTTGAAGCATCTGACATAGAAGCATCTGTCTTTTTAAAATTAAGTGCCTTTTTAAATATATAAAGTAATTATATTTTATTTTGCTTTGTCTTGTATAAAATTCAAATGACTCATAAGTATACAGTTAAAAACCAAATTACTCTCCTGAAAGACTATGCTAGTTACCCATTACTTTCCTACTCTCTCTATTTATCCCCTCAATACACACTGTATCCTAGGCCTTAACCACTGAAAAAGAAGCCTTTCAATTTTGTTAACCTCGTGAAGTGGCAGCATCTATTGGCCCAGTCTGGTACTACAGTGAAGTTCTACAAGGCAATGAAGAAGAGAGGCAAATGTAGATCAATGGGAAAAGCTCAAAGACCCTAAAAGGACAAGTAGGGAAATTCCAAAGTACAGAATCTACTGGAAAATTCTGGAAGTGATTTAGAAACATTAGCAGGTCCTACATGACATGAATCAGGCCATCAGAATATTCATAAATATTTGGCATCATCTGAGAAAACACATTTGTTCTGGGAAGAGAGAAAATATAACTCTATAGTGAAAATCAGTGGAAATATAAGATTCAGTTATTATCATTTCCCTTAACCAACCCCTCCAGGGCAGATGCTTCTGCGGTTATCATGTACTATTTTTCTTTTGGTGTGCATGGCACTGTTTTGGCACTGGGTTTTATAAAAGTCAAATTAAACAAACAAAGCCCTCTAGGAGCTCATAATCTAAAACATAATTTAAATTTAAATTTAATTTTAAAGTAAGTTTAATGGAAAATAACTTTATCACTTTAGTAAGAACAAACTTTAGGCTAAAAAAAATGGAACCAGACACTACATTCACCAAAAAAAGGAAACAGAGGACTGGATGCTTGTAGAAACAATCCCCGAACAGATCTCTTCAGTTACTCCCTGTTGAACTCCAGCTGGGAGTATACACAATTCTTAAAAAATAAAATCATTCTTAGTAAATTCTAAGCCAAACCCTTTGAGCTTTGGGAGAATGGATCAAGGCACCCGTGATTTAAGACTGTTTTGCTGGCCTACTCTACCAATGACAGAACAAATGAGGACACATGCTTGCCCAGGAAACTAAGATGCTGTGCCGCTGGTTTTCTAACATCTATAAACAAACTCACTTTCTGAGTAATTTCGTGAAAACAGATCAAGCTTACAGAGGCTTCTACTGGTTTGGGAAAGTGAAGGACTCAGCTCTGCAGCAGACCTTTGTTTGGGTCACTCTCTTCTGCAGGGCTCTCTGCTGCACTTCCTCATTCTTTACAGAGTCTCTGAAGAAAAGGAAATGCACACTCTCGGGAAGACAACATCATTGTATTTACTTTCAAATTCTCTCTTCAACCATGCACCGCCCCCCCCCCCCACTTAAATCCTTTTGGTACCATGTTACGCAATTCAACTCGAGCTTTCATGTTTACACCCAACATTCAGATGTTTATAAACAGATATCATGCCCACTTTTAGTCATCTGTTAGCCACGTTAAACAAAAGTAAGGCTGTTTAATCTTGTTTTAGTTCAGTTTCTCCAAGGCCTTAATCATTCTCCTTGCTTGTCTCTGAATTATTTCCAGTTTCCTAGATGTTCATTTTTGTTTAGAGGTATCCCCCACTGAATGCATTGTTCCAGGTGTGGTCTCATTAGCATAACTAGAATGAGTCCCTTTTTTCTTCTCTGGGATTAGGTTTTGGCTTCACTGCAAATTCCCACTAACTCATATTACTTTCATATTCTAACAAATGTACATGTAATTCTTTTGTCTATTTTCAGTTCACATAGTGGTTTTTTTTGGGCATACTTCAACAATCCTGATTCCTCAAGTACTTCAAATGCACAGTTTTAAATGATAACTGTAGTTGAAATATGAACAATATCGCTTTATTGTTCTTTTGATTTCTTTGGTTTATCAAAGAAATCATTTTAGCCTAGAAAAGATCCAATTAATCTCCTCTT